GTACTGGTGATTCACCCGTGGCTACGAGGCTGATGTGAGATGGGTGCAGTCCGGTTTAGAGCACAGGCTGCCTGCAGCAACGCCTAGCTTTGAAAAAACAGTTTGGGCCCACTGCAATAACAATGATGTTAAGAGTGATGCTAGCACTAATTAATAGTATGAAAATAGAAGTCATGATAATAGCAATTAGCAATAGACAAAGCATACTACTAGTAATGCTAATAGGTCCCTCCGTGTCATGTGCCGTGTGCTTGCAGCATCGAAGCATCTTCAGGAGCCGGATCCGGAAGCCGTTGACAAATCTGCTGCCCCAGCCACCGTAGAGCAGACCACGGTCCTATATTTGCAGGTGCTAAGGGCATGTATAGCCGTATTTAGGGACATGTAGGGATACGTTCGGGCTTTGCAGACACTTCCTAGATAAACAACAGTGTGCAGTCCAGATCAGGTGGACAGTCGACTGCAAGTCCTTGTTCAGGTGGCCGCAGCCTACAATCTCATCAACCGGGACACTGGAGTCTTGGGAGATGTGCTCAGGCCCCAGGCTCTCTTCTTCAAGCCTCCTGGTGCGTGGCATAAGGCAGTCCAATACACGTGCAGCGTTGCTTAAGGGCTCCTAGAACAACATGAGAAACTACATGAAAGTTTCTGAATGTTGGTTCGGGATGCAGATCAGCCAGCTCAAGATCTTGTCGAGTTACTTACCAGACTTTCGTAACCGTAAGCGATTTGGAAACAAGAGTCGTCCCTCAGAAGCAAAGTGCCAAGGTCAGATCCCTACGTTGTTGCAACAGTTGGAAGCCTAACTCAGCAGACGCCGGTGATTAACAACGAGTTAAATCCGGTCTGGCAGGCCTGGCGAGAGTGTGTAAACAGGATTGGTTTCAGGAGCAACGTCAAAATGCAGCTGCAGAGGAAAACAACCAGTTCTCCTTCAACATCGTGGACCATGTTGCTGATCGCTATCTTGAGCTGAAGGCGCTGGAATGCAGGTATTGTGTTTGTGTGATTGTCCTGTCTGCTGCAGGTGATGAATTCCAATGTCATGAAGGATGACAGCCTTGGCAGCATTAAGCTGGACACCCGCTCAGTTAACCCTGGGCAGTGGTCGCATCCTTGGTGCTGGTGCATTGAGAGCGCTGCACAAATTCAGAAGGCAAGAGATTCTTCTTGGCGATGTTGAGGGTGGCTTTGCGTCAAGCTACGCTATCAGCCCCACACTGCTGAGGCAGCACTATCGCCTGCAACTTGAAGAAGGGCAGGGTGGCGAGCCCTTGACCCACATAATCAATGCTGGTATCACTCCGCGTGTGCTGCAATGCTCAGGCTTGAGTTCGACGTATTCCTGAAGCCTGCTGCGAGATCCTGGCTTGTGCTGAAACAGCCCTGCGGATAACTGCGCAGGGGCTCTTCCGCTCTGGTTACAGCCTGCGTCGGTAGCTTGTTTTGGGATCATGCGTGACAACACTCTTGAACTTCATCCTGCTGACCAACTTCACCCCTAACTTCTCGAAAAAAGAGTGTCTGTCCCTACATTCAGCCAGCCTTTGCCAGGCCATGCAAGCCACATCAGCATGCAGATGAGTTGATCGGCTGCGCCCTTTAGCCTCTTGAGAAATGGAGCGCTCGCTATCACTCATCCTGAGTCTTGTTTGCAGTTCGGCGCCTTTCAGTGTGACGTTCTGCGAAGGTCAAGCAGATGCGGAGATGTCGAGTTTCTATCCGTACCCCGCCTTGTGTTGTGCTGACGCCTAGATGTATCTCGGCATGTGGCTGCTTACTGTTCAAAGGCATGGCTTTGAGGGCAGCTTGCCTTTGCTTCGGACTGGGATGGCAACTCAAGCGCGAGACCGAGTCATAAGTAGGTAGTTTCCATTTTATTTTCCATTATCCCAATATGACCCCTATATAACCCCCTAAGGGCAGGAGATTCCCCGGCTCTGTCATGCTTTCTTTTCCAAGGACCATTTTTGCTGTTTCGTATCTGGAATCATGTGTGCGTTTGCAGATTACTATTATCATTATTATTATTATGATTATTCTGTTGCCCATAGTGGGGATAATCTGGTGGTGGAAGAACCCCTTCGTCTGATAGATGAGTAAAAAGCAGGATGCACTTTGCAAGAGTTGTCAAACGTGTTTAGCTGACTGCACGATGGGCGGCAACAGATAGAGCGCATTTGCTTTTCACATCATCTTCCTGTGCCTTCTGGCTCGACATCAGGCAAGCGAAAGGTGATGCGCTGGCACTACTGGAAAAAGGATACCAAGGAAAAAATGCCACCTCAGACCAAGGCCAGCAGGCTAGCAAAAGGTGGTCAGGAGAGGAAGGCAACGAAGACTCAGATTTCCCCTGCCCCTGCATGTTGGAGCTAAGCTGTGCAGGAGGGAAAACATAGTAAGGCCAAAATGACACCACCAGCAGCGCACCACAACCTGCAGTCAGTAGAGAGATGTAGAGAGAAAAGGAAGGGAAAGACAAACGTGAGGGAAGTGGACACGGTGGTGGTGAGCCGAGGCCTTGCTGCAAGTCTTCATTGAGGTGGAGCCGCAAGGTGTGAAGCTTTTGCGCAGAGGCTGGTGCAAAGTCTGGCTCATGGCCCTTAATATGGCGAGATCTGAATGGAAATCTATGAGAGGTTCTGGTCATCGCCGCACCAGCTCAGAAATGAGTCATCCACAGACACCTCGAATGGGGGGTCACAGACGCACGACTTCTGAGATGAGCCTTGCGCACTCGCCTCAGGCAGAACTGACGGCGTAGGGGCTGAAATGCATCCGTGACACAGGTCTGTGCGCTCTTTCCGCTCTGGCCGATCACTCCTTTATGGCCCGGGGGCACCGGTCAGAGCCTAAGAGGCTTTTTGCCTGCAGAATCCCATTGCCGGCAGCTGAGGCTCCAAGGATGCAGGCTCATGCAGAAGATAACATCCAGACAACTCCAAGCAACAGGCACAGGGAGTTACTATAGGGTTTAGGGTTTAGGGTTTAGGGATATTATCCCCCTATAAAGGAGAATCAAATGGAAAAGAAAATGGAAAATGAAATGGAAGCTGGGATTTTGTAGGGGTTATATTATCCTAATTGGAGGGAGAAGCTCGCAAGGATGTTTTGATGAGGCTGTTGCCGGGTGAAGCGAGGGAGGCCGACAAAAGCGTGCCGGCCTCACCAAACATGTCCCATACGCTGGATACTACAAACCTGCATGGTGCTATAGTATACTAAAGTCATGCAGGATTTTTAGTATCAGCAGAAGTTCACTGTGCAGTAGTTCACTGTGCTGTAGCACTTTTCTCGTTTGAGAAGTCTACAAGATTAAACACATATTTTTAGAGCAAGGTCCTGCAGATCCGCGCTGCACTCAGATTGATTGCACACACATCTTTGTGTGGGTCGTGACTTTTTTTTGGGGTGGTTGTGACTTCCTTTTTTTCTGTTATAGTTCTGCTGCCTTTGGTCTTCTGTTGCAGTACTGCCTATAGGTGGGGATGTTGGTGATGGCGCAGGCCTGCTGTCATTCTGCGACATGCAGGAGGGTCTCTTACGACTGTCATCGCTTGTTAGGGAGAGAAGGGTCATTTTTTTTGGGAAATGTATATAGATGTGACCTAGATGTGACTTCATGTGTAGGCAGAACGTGAGGTTTATAACTGCGTGAGGTTGAGGGATGTGACTTTTTTGATTAGCTTGCAGCTAAGGCATAAACCAGGCCATCGGCCTACAAAACCGAGACTCGGGTTTGTTCGGAGATGTGCACGCGTCTTGGAGTACGTGTGCAGCATCTAGCTTCTTCGTTGCTACTCGTGTGTTTTGCCGATCTAGGTCTGATCCCTACGTGATCGTTCGGGCAGCTGGGGTGGCGCAGAAGACCCCGGTCATCATGAACAACTTGAATCCTGTCTGGGAGGATCTGAGCAGAAGCCTGGATTTCAGGCTAAGGTAAATTTTGATTGTCCGCGTATCAGCAGTGTTCGCAAGAGGAGGGGAATCTCTTTACCTTTGAGATGGCAGTGGATGACCACAAAGTTGAAATGGAGGCATGGCCAATCACTTGCATTCTTTGTGGTTCTGGGGTTTGCCGCAACAGGTGATGGACTCCAACACCTTCCAGGATAGTTTCCTGGGTAGATGCGAGTTGGACCTTCGCTCCATTCAACATGCCGGGCACTTTATCAGCATCATGAGTGATCTTTCGGCCTTGCTGCGATGCAAAGGGCTTGTGGACCTCCTTCCGCGAGAAGATTGGCCACGGAGAGTTGGTGTCTGGGCCTCTCAGGGAACATGCTTACCAAATAATCTCCACAAGCAAAGCTGTCACTTCAGGTTCGACCTCTTCTTCAAGCCGACCGAGTTTCCCTGCCAGTCTCGCCAGCGGATTTGAGGTTGTGATGTGGGCTGCCAGGTACCGGCTGTTGCACGGAGAGCAGACAAGTCTGTCTTCGGCTAAGTGGATGCTTCCCTGCACCAATGCTGGGCAGTTGTCGTCACAGACAGGATCCACATGCGCGTCAACTGTGGCCGAAATCTAATCAATAGGGATAGTGGTGCCGTTGCCTCAGAAAGATATTCTTCAAGAGTTTGGAAGTCCGAAAGACCCCAACATTGATTGCCATCAATCTGAGGTCATGGGTGATGTGTCGATCCCTTAAGCTGCACTTCACGAAGCCATAGCAACATCTGCGCACTACCTGCAGCATGCTCGCATAGCTTCTGCTGCACTCGGAAGTCTGCTTCTGAAACGCATGCGCTCTTCGGCCCAGATCTGAGTAGCTAGACCAGGCAAAGTAGTCTTAGCAAGTTTGGCAGAATGGCGTGTTTTTCAAAGCCCGTCCAGGGCGGCCCCGCAAACAGCAGCGTTTCAGGTGAGGCTCGCAGGCGACGCATGCGACGCATGGGTCTTGCCACCTTAGCGACCTCAGCTGTGCTGCTTCCAGAGGTGGCCAACCCCTTCGTCGTTGGCTCCGCAGCACGCGCTACTCCAAAACCCAATTTGAACACAAATCTCCAAACACCTCCGATGCGGGACGAGCCTACAGCCAGCAGCAAGACAACCGTGCGAACTGCTGCTGCGGCCGCAATGTCAGCGTTGGCTTGCCAGCTGGGCTGGATTTTCCCCAAGCGCCGTGCGCGGAAGAGTGTCAAGGCAGCAGTGCCGGACACAGGCAGCATGACAGGCGCACCTGCAGGTCGCATCAGCTCCAGCTTCACTTCCAGCTTCTCATCTACAGGATCTGCCTTTCTCGGTTCCACCATGGCAGGCTCTGTGACTGCAGCACCCGCGCGCTCCGCCTCCTCCACGTCTTCAATGACCATGCTTTTTGAGCGCTTCAATGCGGATGCAATGAGGTCCGTCATGACCGCTCAGCAGCAATGCCGCCGTCTTGGGCAAAGCCAGCTGGGAACAGAGATGCTTCTCATTGGAGTCATCAAGTCAGGCAAGGGCATTGTGGGCAGCGTTGTGAAGAAGATGGGCATTGATGTGGAAGCAGCTTCCCAACGCGTCGCAGAACGCCTTGGGCAGGGCGATGGCCAGGTTCCTAAGGACATCCCGTTCTCTGCAGCATGCAAGAGCATCTTGCAGACGGCCGTCGAGGACTCCAAGAAGTTGAGGTCAGTCGCAGTGGACCCGAGTCATATTTTCACCGCGCTCCTGGCAAACGCCAAGGACTGCCCCGCAGAAGAGATCTTGCAGGTTGACCCCCAGGAGTTGATCAAGGAAGTGCAGGCTGAAATGCAGAAATTGGAAGAAGCCAACGAGGTGCCAGTGGGCGGAGGAGCAGGCCCCGCAACGAAAACCACCAAGGCACTGGAGGAATTCGGCAAGAACTTGACGCAGGCGCGTTAGCTTCAGAAGTGAAGAGGATTAACACAGTAAACAAAAGGTTCCTGCCTCCTTGTGCAGTACCCTATCCATAAGCTTCAGATCTAGTTGCCACAATCCGGTTTCACGTAGATCTTCACATCTCTGGCGCAGCTTAACTGTCCTCCTCCGCCTTCTGCCAGTGCTTTCTGCCTTCCAGCTCTTTGTTGCGTTGCTGAGGCAGCTGCCGATGGCTTAATGGATCCCCTTGTGGGCCGTGATGAGGAGATTGACCGTGCCATCCAGATTTTGGCTCGTCGATCTAAGAACAACCCTGTCCTCATTGGAGAGCCAGGAGTGGGCAAGACCGCCATTGCAGAGGGCCTTGCGATGCGCATCGTTGCAGGCGATGTGCCGGAAATGTTGGCGGACAAGATCATCATCGAGTTGGACATGGGCGCATTACTCTCCGGTGCTAAGTACCGTGGAGAGTTTGAGGAGCGTTTGAAAAACATCATACAGGAAACTCGTAATGACCCCAACATTATCTTGATGATTGACGAGATTCACACCCTTGTCGGTGCCGGTGGTGGCGGCGATGGTGGCGCAATGGATGCCGCAAACATTTTAAAGCCAGCCCTTGCCCGAGGAGACATGCAGATCATTGGTGCCACTACCATTGAGGAGTACCGAAAGTATGTCACAAAGGACAAGGCTCTGGAGCGCCGCTTCCAGCCCGTTGATGTCCCAGAGCCCACAGTGGAACAAGCCGTGCAGATCCTTACAGGGCTCGCCCGAAAGTACGAGGCACACCATCGCCTTCGCTACTCTCAGGAGGCCATTGAGGCTTGCGTCAAGTACGCGTCTCAGTATGTCCAAGACAGGTTCCTCCCGGACAAGGCAATTGACATCCTGGATGAGACGGGGGCTCGTGTACAGCTCCGCCAGCTTGCAGCTATTCCTGAAGAAGCCATGGAGATCCGCTCGAAGCTGAGAGATGTGGAGGCAGCCAAGGAGGCAGCAGTTCGAGCGCAGGACTTCACCAAGGCCAGTGAGCTAAAGCTGGAGGAGGAAAAGCTACAGTGTCAAATCTACCAGGTGACAAAGATGGCTGACGCCAAGGCAGAGTCCGAGCCTGACAGCACAAGCACCGCAAGCCAGGTGGCTGTGAAGGCCGAAGGCAAAGCCGAAGGCAAGGCAGAGGCTGAAGACAAAGACGCTGAGAAGGAGTTGGATCTGCCACCCCTGAGCCAGGAGGACATCGAAGAAGCTCTTTCAAAGCCAACCGTCACTGAGAATGACGTGGCAGCTGTGGTATCTGCCTGGACCAAGGTGCCAGTGGAAAAGGTCACGGCTGATGAGTCCGTCCGCCTTGTTCACTTGGAAGACACGCTGCATAGGCGAGTCATTGGACAAGAGGAGGCAGTTGTTGCCATTGCAAAGGCTGTTCGTCGTGCGCGAGCTGGGCTGCAGAACCCCAAGAGGCCCATCGCATCCTTCATTTTCTGCGGCCCCACTGGTGTTGGAAAGACCGAGCTCTGCAAGGCCTTGGCGGAAGCCTACTTTGGCATGGAAGATTCCATGGTGCGCCTGGACATGAGCGAGTTCATGGAGAAGCACACAGTGGCAAAGCTGATTGGAAGTCCTCCCGGCTACGTTGGCTACGATGAAGAGAGCATGTTGACAGATGCGGTGCGCAGAAAGCCATACAGCCTTGTCCTCTTCGATGAGGTGGAGAAAGCACACCCCGACGTTTTCAACTTGATGCTTCAGGTCTTGGAGGATGGCCACCTTACTGACTCAAAGGGTCGTGTGGTGTCCTTCAAGAACACCTTGATCATCCTGACCTCAAATTGTGGTGCCAAGGAGATTGAGAAGACACTGATCGGTCAGGGTCTTGGCTTTGATGCCGGGGATGATGATGCTGGAACATCACTGTACCAGAGGCTCAAGACCAAGGTTCATGACCAGCTTAAGGGCTTCTTCAGGCCAGAGTTCTTGAATCGATTAGATGAGATCATTGTCTTCAAGTCCCTCAACAAGCAGGAAGTTCGCGAGATTGCAGAGCTGGAGTTCAGAAAGACCTTCAAGCGCTGCCAGGAAAGAGGCATCACGCTCTCGTTGACCGATCGGTTCAAGACCAAGGTTGTCGATGAGGGCTATGATCCTGGGCTGCTGTTGAGGAACTAACAGCCAGTTACCATAATATGGGTAAAAAGGGTTTGGGGTTTAAGTTGCCATAATATGGGCATCTAGTAGCTAATAGGGTTCTCTTACTGTAGTAACTTGACTTAAGTTCCTTTACGCAACTCAGGATCCGGTTTATGGAGCTCGTCCCCTGAGGCGAGCAATCATGCGTTTGTTGGATGACAAGCTCGCGGAGTCCTTCCTGTACGAGCCGACTGTCGAAGGAGAATGCATCATCTGCGACGTAGATGAGCAGGATCATGTAGTAGTTCTGCGACAAACTCTCGACAGCAACTCCACAGAGCCTGAAGACCCTGGGGCCGCAGTGGAAGTGGACAAGGTTCCAGAAAAAGTTCAGGCGTGAACAGAAAGGCAGAATTTGCCTTTCTTTTCCCACAGCTAGTAAATGTACCTCTTGCTGCCGGAAACGGTGCTCATCACTTAGCACGAGGCAGCGCCCTTTTTTGAGAACCCCAAGGCTTACTTGGGGGGTGCAGTTCTGCCACTGGTCATGGTCACTCCATGGTTTGTGGAGAGCAAGCCAGGAGTGGCCGGGCTTGTGCCGACCAAACCGGCAGTCGTCTCGACCCGAACAGAAAATGGCACCCCTGGCAAAGCCTTGCAACATCCAGCAGAGGTGCGCATGCATATCCATGACTGTCTTATTTTTGATATTGTCTGATAAGGTCTGACCCGTATGTGGTCGTGAAGGTAGGAGACGTGACGCGCAGGACATGCCTTGGGAGCTGCATCGCGACACTTGATACGTGGTTGTGGCAGAAGTAGTCCCTGGAAACAGGACACCGACTATCGACAACACCTTGAATCCTGACTGGCGGGAGACACCTGATCTCACCTCTGTGGTATATTGGGGTCATTTGATATTGGGGATAATAGAACATGGAAACTACTATAGCATCTTGGGGTTATATTGGGGATACTGGAAAAGAAAATGGAAACTACCATAGTATATTGAAGGCCATCAAGCCGCTGCGTTGGCTCAGCAGGAGGGGAATCTCTTCACGTTCCAAGTCAATGAAGGAGTCACCACCATTGAGTTGGAGGCCCCCCAATAGCATCTCTAAATTTTTGGAAGGCTATCCCTTGCCCAGGCCATGAACGCCAACGTGGTGCGGGATGACAGCCTTCTGCTCAGAGGCATTTCTACCTTTTGCCCGTGAGCTGTCTTTGACTGCGCAAGGCCTGGGGAGAGCAACCATCAGCTTTGGCTGCCGCCCCAATTGCTTCTGCCCCTTCTGGCTGCATGATGTTTTTGACAAGCTACGGCTTCAAAATCCTGTTTGCTCGTGAGTTGGGCTTGAGCCAAACAACTGGTGTCGGCTAGTTGGGGCCCCAGCTGTGCCACAACGTGCCGCCTTTCTAGGATGGTGCAGAGAAAGGTGCTGATCTTTCAACGACATTGATCCCACGAGTGAGTCCTTTGGCAGTAGTTGCAATAGTGCAGGTGGAGCAGCTTGAGAAAGGGGGCAGCCACACACTCAGCCGGAAGCACCCGTCCGGACTTGCAGCTGCAACAGCCACAGGTTGAGATTGAAAGTGTGCGAGGCGGAACTTTGGAACTTGATGTCTTCTTCAAGCCCAATGCGCGCAGCCCTTATTTGGGGCCAGGACGGCTTGGACCAAATGCAGGAGCTTTGGCATGCGCTTTTTTCTACATTCTACACAGGCATTACTACCTCAATCTCCAGCTTCAGCAGGCCTCGCTTTACTTTAGACCATTCTTGCGCAGTTCGCATGAGGTTAATTCATGTTAATGTAGCGTGCAATCTCCGACTGGTGCACTGTTGGGAGATGGGTTTCAGCACGGGGGTTCAATGCTGCAGCTTTGGTTGTATGTGTGCTTGCGAGTGCCCGCCGAGTATCCTGAAACTGCAGGAAGCTTTTGTGTCCCGATTGCCGCGTTCTCTGCGCACTGCAGGCCCAGGAGGAGGAGAAGAGATGCTTGGCCGAGGCTGCAAGGCTCTCCAAAGAAGCAACACCCCCAGATGGATGCCCTGCCTGCAGGTCGTACGCGGTCAAGTGATGCTAAGGTGCAGATGGCTGAGCACGCACGAAGGTGGCTGGAGAATGTGGATGAGAACACGAAAATGCCTCGCGCCTTGTTAGACCTTGTGAGGGGTCGGGGCTTGCTTGCGCAAAGGGTGCAGGATGCTGGCTGAAGGCCGATGAGCATGGAGGAGCGCGACTGGGTGCGCGCCTGTGGTGGTAGGCCTCGTCGTTTGAGTTGCCTTCGACCTCTGAAGTTTGCAAACATGCAGCTGCCCTGCGTTCCAGGAACTTGATCGCCCCAGCGTGGATTACCGTCACTCAGACGCAGGCCATTTGTGGGGTTTCTTTCACCCTTTGGAGCAACCGGAGCCCGATGCAGCCCATGAGGGAACAGCTCATCTTTGCAAAGCTTCAGGTGGAAGCGTTGGTGCGAGCACGAGAACGCGCACAACCTATCTCGTTGTTTCCAGAGGCTGGCCATTTTTGAGGGCTGAATGTGTGGTTCCTTTCTAAGCTCCAGCGGTGACTGTCAAACATTGAAGATCATTGCTCCTCTCATGAAGGTCGCTCTCTCAGCTGGACAGCTCAAACTGAAAGTCCGCATCATCGGAGCTGCCGGTTTCCTGCCGCAAAGCAGTCAGGATTTGTGATCGCTGCAGACACAGCACCCAGATTCCAAGACTCAGGCTTGGGCAGCCCAGTACCTGGGCAGATCCTCACGTGTCCTGCCTTTGCACATTTTCTGGGGCCTTGCGTGGGAACACTCGCTTAATCTTCCAGTTCCAGGTACTGCACCTGCGAAATCCCGCAGAAAAAGGGGTCTCAAGTCTCCACGGTGCTTGTCCAAGTCAGCCTGAGTGCGAGATAGCTGCACGGCATTCACGGAAACCGAGGATTTGGCTGAGGGTTTGAGTCCAGAGCGAGCCACTCAGCGTGCTGCAGGGCTGGCATTGGCTGGCGCTTGCTGAGACATGGTGCAATTTGTCATTCCCGAGCAGCCACTGCCGCTGGGCAGCTGCCCGCAGGTGGCGCTGCAGCCGCACGGTACCAGGTCAGACGTACGTTCAACTTAAGAAGAACTCATAGTCATAGATTAAAAATATGTGCAGAGGTTACAAACCTGGAGATGCACTTGTCCTACAAGTTTTCGCAGTTGATGCTGAAGGCGCCAATTATGGAGGTGCAATCTCGCTGTCTTGTTGTCTGAGATGCACTACAGGTGATGTGCAGCAGCTGGTGCACTGGACTTACACATGCTTGTCAACTTCCATACCTCCCACTCGTGCCGCCTGAGTCTTGAAGGCCGAAAGTCAATCAGCTTTTGGGCCGAGTCTCCTCCTCATGTCGGCGACGTTCCGCTGAGTTTGCTTTAGAAGGCCCTTGACGATTCCGAGGCATTTCTTCCTGGCAACAAGATCTTTCCCGAAGGCTGGGTCCTGAGATGTCCTACATGCGCGCCGAGCCATGCCAATAGCCGTTTCGAAGCGCCATGCAAAGCCTGCAGCCCAGCCTTTCCATGTCACCAAAGGCTACGATGGGCTTTTGAACCTGACCTTGGGACCTCGCACCGGACAGAGTTTGCTGAACACAGTATGCATGAGGACACGGGCAATACCTCCCTCAAGCGTCTTTTGACGTTCTGAGGCCAAACCGGCGCTACCCTTCGGGCAGAAGCCTTATTCGATTGTTTTGCTCAACATGGAGGTTGTTGTGCGTCTCTGATGATTTAATGTGTGTCAAGCTGACAACAAGATCTGACCTGCCATGAGGTAACCGCGCTGGTTTTGGAGGTGTGACTTTGAAGATTCGCATCTTTAGCGCAGATCTGCGGCTCCGGAGACGAAAAGAGACACCGGATGCCCCGTGGCAGAAGACCTGTCATGTAGCTGAGGAAGCTTCGCGCGCCTCGCTGTGGGACACAGCTTCTGCCGGCCAAAGATTTGCCGGCATTGTGCAGATTGATTGCCTCAATCGAAGGCTGGGAAAACCGCGCAAATGTGGAGCTGGGTGCGAATGCAGACATGTGAGCTCAGCTTTGCGCTATGCGATTTGGCACTCAGAAAGCCTGGCCCAAGACCTATCATGCAAATGTCCTGCAGCTCAACTGCTGGGAAGGCCGGGGAGGGAGCGCAGGTGTGCTGTTCGTCTGAGTTCAGAACGCTTGCGAACTTAGTCCTTTTTGATCGCATTTGCCCCTGTCATTCATCGTGCAAGTATAGGGTACTTCAAGCCTGGAAGAGGAGGCTGTACATGAGTAGTGCCAAAAATGGTGTGTCAAGACTTCTGAATGCCTCAAAGCAAAACATGTTGGCACACATGGCAGGTACTACTTCCGCAGCTAGGTGATCTCGTGTAGCATTCTTGCCAGCGTATTATGCATGAATAATGCTAGAGGGATATGGGGATTTTTTCAATCATCAGATCAGTCATTTG